TCCCCCCCCCCCCCGGAGAAGGGCCCGCCCGCTTTCTTCCTTAAGGTGGGGGGGGGGCCACCCTCCCTCCCGCCGGAGAGGGGCCCTTTTTTTGGGTTGTTTTCCCCCCCCCACCGCCTTCTGAAAAAAAAAGAAGAGGGCGGGGGGGGGGCGCCTCTTTTTTTGGAAGCCCCCCCCCCCCCCCCCCCCCTTCCCTTTGCCTTTGGGGGACCTTTATCCCCCCCCCCCCCCCCCATCACTCTCAGGCTGCGTGCCCGTCAACTCCGGGTCAGAGCCGATGAGCTGAGACGCGGCGCGGCGTGTACATGCCGCCGCTGCCGCCGCTGCCGATGGCGCCGGCCGCCGCTGCTCGACACGCTTCGCGACCCCTGTCAGTGGCGCGGGCATGCGCGCTTGTGTGTGACGGAGGCGGTGCGGAGTTTCTCTCTCTCCACCTCCCCCTCCCGGCTCGCATGCCCATGGGTCGTGCATGACGCGTCTGAGCAACTGAGCCTCAAGCTCAACCCCACACCCCCTTGCCCCCTGCAGCTGCACCACCCACCCCCACCACCACTGACTGGTTCGAGTGTGTACGTGTCGTGCGCGTAGGCATTTTTATTCTTAGGAGGTCAATTTAACTACCAATTTACGGAGCTTGATACAAGATACACATTCGTCGCACACGACACTCGTCGACTCGACAGCCGAAGAGCGCATGCCGCGCCTGCGGATCGGCGGGCGCGCGGCGGCCAGCTGCGCACCTGGTCCTGGACTAGTTGCAAATTCGGGTTGGTGATGGTGTCATAATGACCATTTTTGGTGATGTTTTTTTGTCCGTGTTGCTCCCAGCGCGCCCTCGCCCGCGCTCAGTGTTCAAACTTTACCGGTATGAGACCGGTATTTAGCGATATTTTGATTAGTTTTGGAGTGGTATGGTATATAGTGGTATGCGAAAGTGGTATGCGGGGTTTTCATTAGTTGTAGCGGCTGTCGGTGTGGTCCCGGGGGCGAAACCATGCAAAAGTGCGGGTATTACCCGGGTATACCCGGGTTTTTCCAGGTATACCCGCAAAATACCCGGTATTTTGCCGATTTTGCCGATTTTGCCACCAAGAAGGCACTCCGACTCGCTTTGATTTCCGTGAGGCAACTGGTATCCCGTACCACTTTTTGATTAGTGCAGGCCTTGGGTTTGATTAGCCAAAAACTCCCATACCGGTAAAGTTTGAACACTGCCCGCGCTCCCTGAGGCCATGGCTGGTGCTACTAGTATGGGGGGCTACCTGAGCACTTGAGCACTGGATAGGGTCGCGATTCCGCGTGGTACGGGACCCCTCGATCGTCTCGCCCTCCCTCACTGGTGTGTTCATCGGGGGGGGTCCTAACAAACACGGTACAGGATCGAGGTGCACGCTGCCGAAGCAGTGTCGTCCCCCCTCTCCCCGACGGCGATGGCGGTGTGACCGATCGAGCCGCTACAAGAGGAGCTTGGTCAGCAGGATCCGGGATAGTCTCGTGCACTACCTCACTGGGCCTGAGACCACAGAGCCAGCATCCCGTCACCGTCTCGGATTTGCGTGGGGTCGAACCACTCCGGGGTGGGCACGCCCACCAGGGCTACCGCGAGAGCGACCCAACTCGTCGACATGATCGTCCCACCGATGATGGTGCCTCAAATTCAGCCTCCGGAGGCTATCGTCGCGTGGAGGACATGTGGTTCCACCACCCCTCGCAGGCTTTGCCTCTGACCGCCACCGTTCGCAGGCTGCCTAATGGGATGGAAAGGAAGGCTGGGCGAGCGTATAGAAGCGTGCTCGACCTTGTTGTGGCAGCCTGCACGGCAGCGCTGGCAGGCGCGATGAGCGTCGTGCCACCTGACCCGAGACGGGTCGCAGGCGTCGTACCGAGCGCGTCGAGACCGTGTCCTGATGCGCTCTGCACGGGTGAGTCACGTCGGCGTCAAAGGAGCGACGTGTGACGTGTCAGAGCTTGATCTCCGATCTCAGCGACGTCGAGTCGCCTTCGGTGGCGACAGCTAGGATGCATGAGCGCTAGTTGAGCGGCCGCACATTGCTCGGTACCCCCCCTGCCCTTCTAAGCCCGTCCCTGCTGCTAGGGGGGGGGGGGGGGTCTGACCCCCCCAGCAACAAAACGCTGCTGCTGGGGGGGGGGGGGGGGGTCCCAGCCACTGGGGGGCGGTCCAAAAGGGGGCCTGGTTCCTGGGGGGGGGGCCCGAAGGGGAA